TAGTTTCTTGCGTTATTTGCTGAGCATACAGATTGAATAAGTATGGTAAATGAAAACATCCCTGACTCATACCTTTCCTGATTTTAAACTGTTCAGCAGCCCCTTGTTCTGTTTCAATGACTGCCCTTTGGTCTAAATACACCTTCCTCATGAGCAGAATTAAGTGTTGTGGAAAACTCGTTCTTTGCGATGCTAGCCATAGCATGTTGTGATCCAGACAGTCAAAGCCTTTGGACAGTCAATAAAGCACAAATAAATATCTTTCTGGTATTCTCTGCTTTCAGCCAAGATTCATCTGATATCGGTAATGATATCCCTAGTTCCACATCCTCTTTTGAATCTGGCTTGTGTTTCTGGCAGTTCCCTGTTGGTATACTATTACAGTCATTTTAGAGTTATCTTCAGCAAAGATTTGCTTATCATTTACAAATTAATGGCTCATCCAATGATTGCCGTATTCCATTGGACCACCTCTCTTTGAAATGAGCACAAATATGGCTCTTTTCCAATCAAATTGGTCTTTGAAATTTCTTGGCGTAAATGACTGCCTCCAGTGCTTCATCAGTTGTTTGAAAGATTTCAGTTTGTATTCCCTCAATTCCTGGAGCATTGTTTTCTTGCTAAAACCTTCAGTACAGCTTAGATTTTTCTCAGTGCCATCAGTTCTTGATCATATTGCTGCCTCTTGAAATGCTTGAACAATGACTATTTTTGTGATACAATGACACTGTATTCCTTCCATCTTCTTTTTATGCTTTCTGCATCATTCAATACTTTGCCTGTAAAATCCTTCAATATTTCAAGTCAAGTCTTGCAATTTTTCTTCAGTTCTTTTAGCTTGAGAAATGCTGAGCAGTTCTTCCCTTTTGGTTTTCTAAATATAGGTCTTTGGACATTTAGTTATAATACCTTGACTTTGTTTTCTCAAGCTACCTTTTGAACTTTTCTGTTCAGCTTTTATTTCCTCATTTCTTCCGTTTATTTTCTTTTTAAAAACTTTTATTGAGAATTGAGTGATAGTTTACATGGGAGAACATCAGTTTTGCACTCATCCTATTGCATTTCGTTTTATTGCAAGGATTACAATCCCTTCTGTACATTATCATTCATTAAACAATATTTGCTTCTTTTTCCTCTGG